GAAAGAGTTAGGAAAAGAAGTTGAGGGAGAGTCTGGCAGGGAGGCAGGAGGGATATGGCAGGACCCAGGGCCAAACGGGAGGCTGCGTTCTATTCAGGCTGCAGATCTCTCTCTCATCCTTGGTCCTCCTTGGCAGTGCTGGGGAAACTGGCAGCGACCTACGTGGAGACCATCCGGAGCGGGGCAGTGCCGTGCCTGGAGAGCGCAGTGCTCGCCCTGGCAAAGATTGAGAACGCAGCGGCAGTGAAAGAGGCCGTGGCGTTGTACCAGCATCTGATGGAGCAGCGGGCGAAGCTGCCGACGGAGACTGCTGAGGAGCTGCTGGAGCTGCACGCCCAGTGTGAGCGGGAGACACTGGACCTGTTCACGGCACGGGCATTCGAGGATGGCATCTCCCAGTTCCGGGAAGATCTCATGGTAGGTGGTCCCCAACGCGGGCAGGATTACCCCAGGGACACCATCATCCCCTTGGGTTTGGGGAGATAGCGTGGTCCTGTGGGATGGGGGTCTCCCTGCCTCCTGCCAGAGGACACTGCTGTGCCCTCTCCAGAGGACACTCAGTCCCAACGCCTGCTCTCACGCTCTGCACTTGTCCCTGCTGCACTACGTCTTCTGCCTCGGTTCAAAGCTGTGCTGCAATGGGCACAAAGCTCAGCCCTGGCCCCTGTCTTGCTGCAGCCCAGATGTGTCTCTGCCCTGGCCGGAAGCCTGGAGCCTCCCACGCTTCCCCTGTCCTGCTGGCTAATTCTTGTCCCTGGGTTTTGTGGAGCCTGTCATGCTCTCTGCTCCTGTGCACCTTGGTCCAGACGTGCCCGTGGGTGTCACCTCCCAGCTGATTACCCCACAGACCGGAGATCTCAGCTCCCATGTCAACCTGCCTTGATTTTTGCCTAGAATGAGGGTGGTGGATGCGGCTCAGCCTGGGCTGATGCCTTCCCTCTGCGTCTTTCCGGACAGCGCCAGGTAGAGGCGATCAAGGTGAAGTTCCGCAAGGACAACGAGCAGGCATCCCGTGACGAGTGCCAGGCTGCTCTCAAGAAGCTCTTCCAAGGCATGAAGGAACGAATCAGTGGTGGTGTCTACATTGCGTCAGGGGGTTACCAGCTGTTCAAAGAAGACCAGCAGGCACTGGTGGAGAAGTATCAGCAGCTGCCTGGCAAGGGGGTGATGGTAGGAACAAGAGCAGCTCCCCTTCCAGGGGGGAGGCTCCATGTCCCAGCGCCTTCCCCCAAGAAACCATTTCTCCCCAGCTGCTCTTCCTCCTCTTGACTCCTCTTCCACCTGTGGTCCTACAGGCTGATGCTGTCCTGCAGGAGTTCCTCCAAAGCACAGACCTTCTGGCCAAGTTCATCCTCAAAATAGACCACTTCCTGACCTGGAAGGAGAAGGAGATGAAAAGTAATTTCTGGGCTGGGGAAATGCCCCTGCCTGCGGGGGCATTGTGGGCTCAGCTCCTGCCCTTGTAACACCTCTGTTTCTCTGTTCACCAGGTGAGCGAGACCGGCATGAGAGAGCTGAGCAGGAGAGAGGGAACTGGTGCAACAACAAGATTTTTCTATCTATAGCGTTAAATGTGACATTGGCCGTATTATTGCGTAAAATCCCTGTACTACTAAAGTAAGAGAGGTGTGTATTGCCCCCACGCACAATTCTGTTAAAATTCAAGAGCCTTTCCTGCAAGATGCTTGCCTTAGAGTGTGGAAGTGTCCTCCACGTTCACCTGTACCGCGCGACCTAGTGCTTTCGTGCACGTCTACTCCTGGAGAAGATGGTCTCCTCCTCCCTCCCAGAGCGCCTGGTCCCTCACTGCATCTGAAGGCACGGGGAACATCAAAATCCAGGGTGGCCTGGGGCGCAGAAAGGCCATAATGCCAGCAGGCAGGTCTGAGCATTTTGCCATGCTCAGAACATGTCACTGTATGTAATGGGATGTAACCCACCTCTTCTGGAGACCTCCTCACCAGGGCCATGAGAAACACGCCCAGGAGAGCTGTCAGGAAGTTCTCCCCACAGGGATGTTCTGCTCTGCGCTCGCTCACCCCATGTCCGTGCTGCTCCCCCTTGCCTTTTTTCAGAGCAAGAGACGCCCAAGTGCCCCTGCCCAAGGGTGTCTGGGGTGACAGAGCAGGAGATGGCTGTAGGGGGTTCCTGGCAGGTGTGTCCCCCCTTGGACTGGGTTTGGCCGGGATAGAGTCAATGTTCTCCTCAGATGCCGGTGTGGTTCTGTGTTTTGGATTTGTTGGTAACGCCCCCGTGCTGTAGCTGCTGCTGACCAGAGGCTGCACAGCATCAGGACCTTTTCTGTTTCTCACCCACCGGTGAGGAGGCTGGAGGTGGGCAAGAAGTTGGGAGGGGACCAAAGCGATATCCCAGACCATGTGGCACTCTGCTGAAGCCATAAAAGCTGGGGAAAGAAGGAGGAAGGGGGGATGTTTGCGGATGATGGCGGTTCTCTTCCCAAGTCACCTTTATGCGGGATGAAGCCCTGCTTTCCTGGAGATGGCTGA